GAGAGAGAGTGTTAACCATTAGGCTGGGAGAACAGCATGTTGGAAGTGGCTAGAAGCCAGTGTTTTGAGCAACTTTAAGCAGCTCAAATCAGCAGAAGACTGGCCAGTTTAGAAGTTGTACCGGGAAAACCCATTACTGCTTTCGAGATGAAAACAAAGATTTCTATCGAGCATTATCCTTGGAAATGGATTCCTCATGGTAGCTTCAAATGGATTCTACTTCAAAATTTATCAAAACTATCTGACAGAAAAATGGAAAGTTATGTTGCTATCGTTATAATATCGTGGATTAAGGACTAATTTACTAGGATGTAAGTATGAAAATAATGATTTTGCCAACACTATCACACAACACAGAAATTAAAAACACTATAGACAAAGCTAAGTTCTGAAACTGGAAGATGATGTTTTTAATGCAAAGAACCACCGAACCATTAGAACAAACATTATATAAGTAATTCTTATAAATAAAATCAGGAAAGACAAACAATCCAAGGCACAAATCGGCAAAGAGGAACTGACCAAAGGAGAACCCAAGTGGCCAAAAAGCACAAAAACAGACAAATAAAAAAAACCTAATTAACAACTGGAAATATTAAAACGTTTTATCAAGTTGTATAAAAAAATTAAGTTTGATAAGTATTCAGAGACAAGGAACATTCAGGCACATGTAAATGGATATTGTCACACAGCACTGGTGGGAGTGTGGTGTCTGGTCTCTTGGAGGAGTGCTTTAGCAGTGCACATTAGACCATACAGTCAGCCAGTGTCTGGTTTGATCTAAGGCTCCATATAGGAACCCACACCCAACATTGCCTGGATAACCAAGAACCAGGCTAGATAACTCAGAAACCTGGGGTAAAATCAAATACTACTAGTCTGAAAAAAGGTATCAATAAAACGACTCCTAGTGATATTCTGCACATTAGAACAAGACACAATTCCAATTCATGGGCATTCTCCCTCAGGAAACCTTAACCCACGATTCTCATTGCAGTGTGGAAACTATGCTTTCTAGTGAATGGTGAAAAGCGAAAGTTACCTAAATAAATGTCTATCGAGGGTAGGATGGATCAACACCCATGCCCTGCCTTTTACATATTGCATTAAGGGATAGTTAAGAAGTTTGAGGTAGTTTAAATGTCTCAGCATCAAAAGAGGGAAGTACAGAGAATGGGGTGAGGGGAGAGCATGAGAGATCTTAGACTACACTGTTGAAATGTTTTTTAAATCTGAATTCACCACGATACATCAATTCTCTAAGAACGGAAGGCAGCACTATGTTTTCTGTTCTGCCAATTCTATGACTGAATACTACAAGCAGGCATATCTACATGCTTTAAGGGACTTTTTATAGGGTAAGGGTGCAACTTAATGATAGTATATGCATAGTAAGTATTAAGACCCTGTGTCCAAACTAGTAGGGGTAGCCAGCCAATGTCTGATTTGATCTAAGGCTCATTTCAGGAGAAGGAAACCACACCCAACACTGCCTGCTAACCAAGAACCAGACTAGATAGCCCAGAAACCTAGGGTAAAACCAAATATTAGTGGTCTAAAATTAAAAAGTATCAATAAAATGAATCTAGTCATCATCAAGAGAGGCTCCCTCTGGTAACAGATGGGAAAAAGATGCAGAGACCCACAGCCAGACATTATGTGGAGAGAGGGATTTCTTCATCAGATCCCTCCCCTCAGATCTCAGGAAACCTCACGGAACAGGTCGCAGAAAGAATGTAAGAGCCAGAGAGGATGGAGGGCACCAGGAGAACAATGCCCTCTGAATCACCTAAGCGAGGTGCATATGAGCAAACATAGGGCCTTCATGGGTCTGAACCAGGTCCTCTGCATATATACTATAGCATTTGGTTTGGTATTTTTATGGAACTCCTGACAGCGAGAGCAAGTATGTCTCTGACTCGCGCGCCTGCTCTCGGGCTTTTCTCATCCTATTGGGTCGCCGTGTCCAACTTTAATATGATAGTTTTGGCTTCATCTTCTATTTTATTTTGTCATGTTTGGTTGTTAACTCTTAGAAGTCTATTCTTTTTCTAATGAGAGACAGAGAGGGAACAGATACAGACTGGAGGAGAGGGTGGGAGGGGCTAAGAGCAGTCTACGTTCAAATCCTAGCCCTACCACCTCCATAAAAAAAAGACTGGGGTTGGGTTTCTTTTTCTTCACACTCCATGTCACGTGGACTAAAGAGAAAACGAGACTAGAAGCAGAGTGGGGAATGCTTGACCCTTCGAGAGAAGAACCTACTTCCTTCCTTTCCACCCCCAGAGCCTTTGAAACTCTATCACATCTAGACACGCGCTGCTGCAGCGTCCATCACCCGTGGCCTCTGTGAACCGCAGAGCTCGGAGCCCTTCCAGAATGTCCCTAAATCACAGGACGCACTGGGATCATTCCAGGCTTTAATTAAGATGCTGATAACTGAAGTGTCCAATCAGCTCTTGCAGCCTGGCGGGTTACAGAGCACAGAGCTGTGCTCTCCACTTCCCTTGCTGATAGGGCGGTCATTAGAAAAATGACCGTGAGGGAGGTTTTAGGAATCTTCAAAAATATTTGTGGTTTTCAACAAACAACCCTGTCAAACTGAAACGGCCTCCAGCTGTCCATTCCAGATTTTTCCCAGACTGCAACAAGATCAGGGAAGCAAGGAAAGAGCCATACTCCAATCCAAGTACTGCTCCTTCTTAGCTGTCTGTCCATGGAGAGGTAACTCATCTTCTTTGAGCCTTGTTTTCCTTGTCTGTAAAATGGGTACTCACAAGACTTCCACACCACAGAGCACAATTATGAGAAGGAAATAGGCAGTTTATGTAAAGCCTGGGACATTTAGTAGACATGGAATTAAAGTTAGTGTCATCTCTTTCTCTCTGTTTCTCTGTTTCCCTGTCTCTTTGTCTCTCTCTGTCTCTCTGTCTCAGTCGTCTCTCTCTTGCACACACACACACACACACACACACACACACACATGCTTCTCATCTTTTTCTTATCCTTTTCTTACAGGGGCCTTGGTCCTTACAACTTCTGTGTATTCTGTATAGTTTGCCCTGATCTTGGAGTCAAGCCAAGGATGGTACCATGTTTCTTCGTCCTCTGCAGGAGAGCTGTGTGCTTCAAAACACTGCTAGAGATATTGCAAAAGGGTGTCTGGAGAACAAAGCTCTGTCCTGTCCAAAACTTCATCTGTGAATTGAGAGTTACAACAGTACTGTTGCGACACTGTCAGCAAAACAGAAGTGTCCAGGGTGCAAATGGCACAGCTCCACCATTTGAGCCAGGAAGGGAGGGACTCCGAGATGAATGTGTCTATCGTTTTAGAAAACCAAAGCCAGGAACACAAGACAGCTTCTTGACTATCTTTTCCTACCTCTCATGCCCATTTTTAAGAGAAAAGAATGCTCTCTCTCTCTCTCTCTCTCTCTCTCTCTCTCTCTCACACACACACACACACACACACACACACACACACACACGTGCACCTATGCATGCCACTTTATGAAGGTGTGGTTGGCATAAAAAAGATATATACTCATCATTCATAATCTACACCATAAACCAATTCATCTTCCCCTACGGTTTCTTCCTCATTTTCTTCTTATTAACATGAGCTAAAGGATTCCCAGCCCTGTATGTCTTCAGCCCAGCCGCAGTGGCTCTAAGAGAGCATCAATGACAACATCGGATCTCCAGAACACAGGTGGGACTTGCTCACACTAAGAATCTGGGACGAGTCATCAGTCATCCCCCAGCCGGTCCTTTCTAAATAAAAGTCCAATTCGGAGAATTATCCGAGTTCCTAGCTTGCCTGTGTCACTGTCGCAGTGAGCAGGCCAGCAGGCCTTATCTGCAGCATCCCCCGCTCCGGGGCGCTTTAATAATGAAGTTCTTCCTTAGGATTTTTCTATCTCTCTTTTTTAATATTTCTCTGATATGAGTGTTAGAAGCAGGAGGCAATAGAGGAGAGTATAACTGAAGCTTACAGAGAAAGCACTTCAAAGCTACTCAGCTATGGAAAATTTCCACATCCCTTAAGTGTAGACTCGTTAGTCTGTTCTTCAGTCCATGGTCACCTGACAAATGGACATGGAGATTTGGCAAAACGCCAAAAGGTAGCACACAGCATAGGTCAGATTTTCTGTAGAATCGGCGGCGTTGAGCCCTATTTTTTTTTTTAAACCCACTATTTGCAGCGCTGCCCTCTGGAGGACCAGAACGTGGAAGGGATGGTTATCAAGTATTGTTTAATAAGAAAGTAGCTTCAGTTCTCATCTTTAGAGTTGCCTTCTCTTCTGGTGTCTCAGCATTTTTCCATCAAACTGCTAACTCAAGACTTCATTCAACGACTAAAATCACAGGTATCTAAGAGAAACCTGCAAGCGATAGTCTTTCTCTGCTACCTTGAGAGACACACTCCCACTTCCAGATGACTAGGTACTTACTTGGATTGTTTTGTGGTCAGAGATATCCAAGGCCCTGAGAGGATTCTGAGCCCAGTCTTCCTTTCCAAAGCCCAGCAATTTCGCTGTAGATGCTCAGAACTCAGTTCTGCTCTGGGGTGAGATGAGGAGACAGTGGGCTGAGGAGGAGAAGGAGGAGAGCCTGGGTGACCACAGGCGGCCTTCCGGCATTAGTTCCAGCATCTCTCCCTTGGCTCTGTGCCTCATGGACACGGATTAGTCATTAACAGTCCTTCCCTGGTAAATGATGTAAACACAGAAAGGAATCTCAGGGAGCCTTGGGATTGCCAGCATAATCCAAAGACAGGGAAAGTGACAGGCACCAGAGTCCCATAGCTCACCTTGTATAATAGGTCTGTTGGCTGTTTTGTACGGTCTCGGGAGCCCAGATTTCTGCCTCACTCTGAAGTCTCTTTTCATAGTTCTGTTACTTGCCAGACATGAAAACTAGAAAGGATGAGCTACCTTGAGCCTTCTTTCTCCCAGACTTCCTGCATCAAGTTGTAAAACTGCCTAATGATTATGTCTTGGGAATGCCTCCTTTTTCTGAGCGACCCTGATCCTCTGCTAGGTCGGGCCTACCACAGCTTCCTGTCTGAAAAACAATGGTAGTCCATCGCTTCCTTCTTGCCTCTTTTTCAGTCTTCTGATTGCACTGAACATGAGCACTGAGCATGTGGCTTCTCTGAGATTTGGTTTCTTCATCTGTGTACGTACGCTTGTGTGTCTCTGTGTGTAATCGTGTGTCTCGGTTGTATGCCTGCATCTCTCTATGCATACTTGTGTGTCTCTGTATGTATACTGTGTGTCTGTGCTTGTGTGTGTCTTTCTGTGTGTGTGTATCCTGGTATGAAGTCTATTTAATGGGAGATCTACATTCAAATCTATCTAAGTAACATTCGAATGTTACTACATGTTTCCCTTTTGCACAGGTAGGTTGTATACCACCACCACCACCACCTTTAGTGACTTCCTGGTGTCCTACAGCACACTTCTCTGATTCTGTCAATTCTCCTTTGTGTGGAGAAACATTATGCCAACACTTCCTGTCCTCTTCAGCTCTGATCTGCCCCAGCAACTCCAAGACCAGTTCTTCCTGGTGGAGAAATATCTGCTATATGGTTTTGGTCTCTAGCATCAGTGAAGAGGGTGGTTAAAGTCTTGTATCAACCACGTGGGCTTCATTCCCAGCTCTGCCACTCATGAGCTGGGTGACCTTGCAGCTTGGGCTTTTGCTTAACAGCCCTTGGTCTTGGTCTCAGCATCTCATCTGTAAGATGAAAATATAATTCCCGTGTATTCCACGGAGGGATTTTAAATAGTGTATGCAGAGTGCTAATATCCCAGGTAGTATCTGTTATAAGAAGGTTCTATGCAAGGAGTAGCTTGCTAGAATTTTCTCTGGAAGTTTTTTTTCCAACAGGACCACATGGTTCCTAAGGATAGAAGGGTTTCCCCGTACTCTGGATTACTGTTTCTATACTACTGGCCATTACATACCTGCTTTCTCAAAAATTTCAACAATTATGTATTTCAACTTCATATCATAATCTACCAGAAATAGAAATAAATAAATAAATAAAAACCTTTGTCTTAGGGTTTTATTGCTGTGAAGAGACATCATGACCAAGACAACTCTTATAAAACAAAACAGTTAGTTGGGGCTGGCTTATAGTTTCAGAGGTTTAGTCCGTTATCATCATGGCAGGAAGCATGGTAGTGTACTGACAGACATGGTGCTGGAGAAGGAGCTAAAGTTCTACATCTTGATCCGAAAGCAGCCAGGAGACTCTTCTACAGGTAGCCAGGAGGAGACTGGAGTTCCATATTGAATGGAGTTTAACTAGGAGACCTCAAAGCCCACCCCACAGTGACATACTTCCTCCAACAAGGCCACACCTACTGGAACAAGGCTATACCTTTTATTAGTGCCATTCCCTCTAGGCCAAGCATTCAAAGACATGAGTCTATGGGGGTGAGTGTGGAGTAAATCTATTCAAACCACCACAATCTTTTAAAACTTACCTTCAAAATACATAGCCCAAATCTAACACCTTTTACCTCCTCTGCTACCATCCCTCTGGACTGTGCCTGACTGCTTTCACCTGAATTCTCACCATAGGCTCCCAATTGGTCTCTTATTTCTGCATTAACTGCCACTCATGCCACCACTGTGGCTAATTAATGCCATTAAGACAAAAGCACTATCCGCTTATCAAGCCCCAATCCTCACCCCTCATGGCTCAGGGAATGTCAAGAAAGAAGAGGTGGAAAGATCTGGGCAATGGAGAGAAATGCTTATGAGATGCTGTTTTCTGGACATTGCTTGGCTACAAGGCCATGCACACCTTGAACACCATCAAGTCAGTGAAAGCTCAAGCTTAGGTGAGGGCGTGCCCTCTAGACCCTGCCCATTGCTGAGGCATTCTTGGCGGCTGATAGCTGCTGGGGGAGGAAGAATCATTCTTTTGAGAGTCTAACCACTGGGAGGTTTCCTATGCCCTGGTGGCTGGAACTATACCCCTTACCCAATTTGGGCAGCACTAGCTGAATACAACAAAAGGACACAAGAAGGACTGGAAGAAAAATGGAAGTAGATTTGATTGTATTTTATTGTGTGCAAGTATGAAATTCCCACGAATAAGGAAAAACATGAAAAAAAATCATGTCACTACTTTGCTCAGAATCCCCATGGGTTTTCATCTCCTCCAGACCAAAGACCTAATCAAACTTCTTTTTTTTTTTGATAGTTCAGACTTACTTTAATAACAATACATACGACATCTTGTCACTATGGAATGTAAGGGTTGGACAGGGATTTCACAGTGCTCTTAACATTCTGCATATCCAAGTTTGTGTGTAATGTCTCGGAACACCAGCCCCTCCACCATTTACCCATCACTTTTGGTACTTTAATAAACATGATTCTTACAAAGTAGACACACTGCCTGCATTAGGCGTGCATTTCCTTTATCCTTGGATTACAACATACAGTACCTACTTCTGCTGGGGTTCAACTCAGTGCACAGCACTTGCTTGGCCTATGTGAGACCCTGCATTTAATGTCCAGCACCACAAAAAAACCCAATACCTCTATTTTAAGATGTTTAAGAATTATCCTATTACCAAGGAGCAAAAATATAACTTTGCAATTATAAAAGAGCTAAACCAGAACCCATAATCAATTTGTAAGTGTGATTCTAATAAACACTGCCTCTCTGCAGCTTTTATCAGCTTTCTAGGTTGTTGTACACACACATACACACACACACACACACACACACACACACACTCCCTCCTACTTAGTTATAGGGGCTTTATAAGCTATATTTCATGGACTCTTTGGAAAGTGTTTTTAGAAGCCAACAAACCTTAAAACCTGAAGTTCTAAAGTCAGCCCACAGGTAGACAAAATAAATGAACCAGGGCAAACAGGGTTCTTTCCTGACACCCTCCCGAAGCATGGCCTACTCTGCGCATAGTGTGTGTGTATCTGCACTGTCAGCTGCCCTTCTCACAGTGACTCTCATCATAAAGGTGTAAGGAAAACACTGTGACCAACTACTTTCAGGTGACAGATTTCTCCTGTGTTACCTTGACTCCCCTGAGTGACCTAGTTAGTGAATCAGTCACTAACGATTTGGCCACCAGGCAAATCAAGCTGGCAAGAAAGTAAACCAATATTCAATACTGTGTTTTGTCTAAACCCACATGGTATTTATTGCAGACACAAACAGGTAACCTCAATATGAGACGTCTAATGAAAACAAGCACTTCCCAGACCAAGGCAGCAGCTCTTCTAAGGCTTAGGCTTGGCTCAGAATTCTTTATACATGGAATAGCCCATACCAAGAGTCATGGCCCCAACAACAAAGCCCTGGGCTGCCACACGCATGTGGATCAAGTGAATGGACATCTTCGTGTTTCCCCTGCTCTTCAGTTTGTATAACCCGTACGCAACAATTGCTGCAAAGCCTGCCATTCCAATGGGGACAAATGGTGTCTCCTTAGCTTTCCGAATAAACTTAGACCCCTGACCTTCATCGTATGAAGAGAGAGAAAGGTCTGTGTTGGTTGACATTTTGATTTCTTGAAGAGTCTTCCGAGATGCAGGGTCCTTTTCAGTCCTGCCGGCTTCTGGCCATCCCTAATCAAACTTCTTACTGTGATCTCCAAAGATCTACATGCCCCACAACTCCATGACTTCTTCTTACTCTCTTCTATAACTTGCTGTAGTTGTATAGCTTCTGTCCCACTCATTGAACCTATAAAGTATCTTCTCTTCTCAGAGCCTGTTGTGGTTGACAGCCTCAGGGTCAAGAAGCCATCATCTTGGGAAGTTCAGTTGTGACCCTTGCAAAATGCTTACCCTAGTTGTTCTTGTTGACTGTTTACACTCCCCTCATAGAGAGGCAGATCCAGACACTTCCTATCTATGCTGCCGTAATTGTACCCAGCCTGGTGTAAGGAGAAGTATAGGAAATCATCCAACTCTAGGGGAGGGGCCTCCATCTATCTATCTATACGAAGGCCATCATCCCTGCTGAGTGAAGACTGGACTGTCTGGCTCAGTGTTTGCGAAGGAGGCACCCACACTTCTATAGGTAATCCTCTCACCTATGGTCTGTAGGAAACCAGTAAACTTACTGATTCCCTGTAGGGACCTTTGGTGGAATTGTGCCTCAATCTGTTGTAGGTACGATTTATGCCTTTCCCTAGGGGAGGGAGGGGAATTAAAAAGGGGTGTCTATGTCATCTGTTCCACAGCCTGGTAGGATCTTTGGCTAGATATTTGCCATTGTCATTTACTCAGTTTATCACTTATCTGAGAGGCCTCTCTGGACATACAAAATATAACAGCATGGTTCTCCTTGCTCCTGCCCCATCCATTCTCCATCTTAAAAAAAAAAAAAGATTTATTTATTTTACATATGTGAGTACACTGTCTCTGTCCTCAGACACAGCAGAGGAGGGCACAAAATCCCACTACAAATGGTTGTGAGCCACCATGTGGTTGCTGGGAATTGAACTCAGGACCTCTGGAAGAGCAGTCAGTGGTCATAACCACTAAGTCATCTCTCCAGCCCCTCCATTCTCCATCTTACTTTGTTTTATTTTTCTCACAGAACGTGACATGTACTCACTTTTCTAATGTCTGTCTCACCACACGGAACATGGACAGACATCCCTATCTTGTTTACTGGTGTGTCATTGATTGCTAACTGTCTGAAACAATGTGCTGGTGTAAGTAGGAGGTGCCATAACCTAACCTTGGAAGCTTTTCATCCATGCATGCACAGAGGCACTCAGCAAGATGATAACAATAAACGAAACCAACTAAAGAACTGATAACATTTATTTGTATTTTGTGATTTGATGGGGAATCCCATGTTATCATAAAAACGTGGTGCTGTGTGCCTTTAATCCCAGCACTTGGAGGGTCAGAGGCAAGTGGATTTATGTGAGCTCAGGGGCAGCCTGGCCTACAGAGTGAGTTCCAGGTCAGCCAAAGCTGCACAGTGAGGACTCATCTCAAAATGTTCTATGTTAATCATGACAAACAGAAACAACTCTCTTTATAGGAATAATTCCAACTATCACAGGGAAAAAGAAGGAGAGGAACAAGCATTTATTAAGTCCTTAACATTTTCCACAAAGGCACTACCAACTCAGCAGGGAACAGAACAGCATGGTCTTCACCTTCCCAAAACTTACCTAGTGAAAGCGAGTGGTTTAGAGTTTTCCTCATGGCAGTATATTATGAAGGTGAGAAAGGATTTGGTGCTGTGCTGGTATTTGTCAAGAGCTTGCTGTTGCATATGAAGTGAACCCGGAAGCAAGATGACATGTTGAAGACTCGTTTTAAACTGTGGAGCTTTGAAGAAATAATTAGATCACAGAACTAACTTCACCGGTAAATTAATCCCATGACGAGTCCTGTAAAAATGAATTATATATTCTAGCTAGCCTGTATAAAAGACAGAAAATCCAGGTATGTATTTACAAGCTATAAGCCTAGACTGGGCAGGTTTTGAGCTATTCTAACTGATATCCCAGCCATATGTCACTTGTTACTTGTTGTGTGTCTTTCCAGGTTATTTCTGCTGCATCTGCCTGTCCTCAGGATTCCTTGCTCCTGGCCACATGCTTGTGGTCTCTCTCTCTCTCTCTCTCTCTCTCTCTCTCTCTCTCTCTCTCTCTCTCTCTCTCTCTCCCTCCCTCCCTCCCTCCCTCTCCCTCTCCCTCTCCCC